GAGCTTTATTTCAATTGGGATTAAAATCAAACTGATGTGTATTTAAGCTGCGTTTGATGCTTAAATTGAGCTTTTGAAGCTTAATTACTAACAAAGTTTAAACTGAACTTTAATACAATATTTTTAAATATTTTTTTTAAACTTTAATGTGTTAAAGGAATGTCTTTAAATTGCAATTAATCTCTGGTTTATATTTCAAATATTTTATAATTTTGCATAAATTTAGATCCTTTTCTGAGAACGTGTTTGAAAAATATAATTTATGTTTAATACTTCATAAATCTTAAAATAATATTTCAAAATTTTATAGTTTCTTAAAAAAAAACGTGTTATAAGTTTCTTATAAACTAACTATAATTATCAATATAAAAACATAAATCCTAAAAGTAACATTTATTATAAAAGCTATAAGGAAACCCAAGAATCTATAGCTCAAACTCCATTTATAAAACCAAAGCTAAAAACACAATCAAAAAATATTTTGCAGAAAAAAGTAGGACCAATACAAAATCTAGAGTTATTTCTTAGCTAACTTTTGTTTAGAAATTATTATTAAATAGACATTTTAGCAAATATTTGTTTAATATGAATTTATAGCTTTTTTTTGCTTTAACAAGCCACTTGGCCCCAAACACACCTTAAACTATTTGATAAATTATTAAAGAACAAATGTTTAAGCAAGTGATAATTTGCTTAAAAAAAAACAACATAAATAAAGCAAAAATACAGTAGAATTCTAAGAAGCACAACCCAACACTTTTTCACTTAAAAGTAGTTGACTTAAACAAATTTCACTGTTTTTTTTAGCAAAATATTGAAAAACCATAGTTCAGGCTAGACTCTTAAGAACAAGCCAAAAAACACAAACTTGTCAACAACGACAACAAAACCTTAGAACTTTATTTAAAAGAATATTTATTTCAAATTGTTTTTACTTTAACTAAAGAAGTTAAAAAAACAGTCATTAATATGCTAAAGACATTTTAAGCCAACAACACAACATACCCACCCAACCAAACAAAAGACTTAAGCAACAAACATAACTATACTTTACATGGCAACTTCTTTTATCCAACTTAAGTCTCGTCTTGGTTTTCAAAAAATAAATGTTTATTATTATGCTGTTAAGGTTTAGGCTGTAGTAAAAAAGAAATATTTTGTTTTTGTAATAAATATTTAGTTATTATGCTAATTTTATATGGTATTTATAAACATATTTCTTTATTAGTTTATTTATAAAACAACAACGTATTGATAAGTTTTAGAGTTTTTCTTTTGATCAATAACATAAATATTTTAATGATTTAACTGAATATGTTTAATGAATATTTAATTTTTAGTTAAGATTTCTCCTAAGAAAGTTTTTCTATTGATAAATTAAATGCATATTAATATTAATTTTTTATTTTTCTAAAAACCATAAAATTTACACACGTTTTACAAAAATAATTAAAAAAATATATAAAAATTTTACTTAAAATAAAAAAAAAAATCAATTTCCTTTTTTTTATTTGGTAATACTCATCTTATACTTTCACACCTGCCCTTTAGTGGGTTTAAAAACTAATCTGACCTTTTACACTTTTTCTTTTACTTTGTGAGTGTGTGTATATATATGTATGTGTGTTGGTACAGTTTTCATGTCCAAGGAAGATTTGAAAGTATTTTCTTTATAAATTGTTTTAAATTTTATGTGATTTTTTTTATCTTCAATTTTTCTATCACGTTTTGCTGCAGGCCTTTTCTTTTCTTTCTATTGTTTGAAAATGTATACTTCTTTTCATTAAGGGTTTCTTTTTTGGAGTTTGTCTTAAAAAAAAGGTCTAGTTTTAAAATTATTTATTGGTTTTAAGATTAATAAAAACTGTCTATAAAATTTATGACATTTTAGTTAAAAAAAAATAAATTTGTAACAATATTTATGAGCTAATACTGAATTTAATAATTAAAAAAAAAATAGGTGCAGTTTCAGGGTCTTGTGTGACTTTTGAAAAATTAATTTGATCCATAGAGAAAAAAGCAAAAAACTCATACAAAAAAATAATAATAATAATTTGTGCTACAGATTAATTGCATAAGACCTAACATGGGAAAATATAGAATTTTACCCTTTTTCTTTACAAATAACTCAAAAAAATCACATATTTTATTAGCATAAAACAAAACAATCATTATTTACCAGTGTTTACCTTAACAATAAGAATTTTTACCTATTTTACATCATGTCAAATAAGAAATAAAAATTTCGTTTCAAAAATGTTATAGAAATTGTTAGTTTTGCACAAATCCCTTGAAAATTCTAATTGTTTACATTATGTAAACAATGTAAAAATTAAAAAAATACGCTTTAAATTACTTAATTTTCAATTCTAAGAACATTTTCTAAAGTTTAAACAAAATTTTGTAATTGTTTACATTTTGTAAAGAATGTAAACAATGTAAAAACTGGTCAAAAATACTTTAACTATTTAATATTATTTTTTTAATTTGTTTAATACAAATTTTGTAATTGTTTACATTTTGTAAATAATGTAAACAATGTAAAACCATATATTTTACATTGTTTACAATAAAGTAAACAATGTAAAATACTAAAAATGTTTCGGAAAAAGTAAAACGGAACTAGTACTTAGAATGGTCTAGAACTGAACTAGAACTGAACTAGAAGAACTGAACTAGAACTGAACTAGAACTGAACTAGAACTGAACTAGAACTGAACTAGAACTGAACTAGAACTGAACTAGAACTGAACTAGAACTGAACTAGAACTGAACTAGAACTAGAACTGAACTAGAACTGAACTAGAACTGAACTAGAACTGAACTAGAACTGAACTAGAACTGAACTAGAACTGAACTAGAACTGAACTAGAACTGAACTAGAACTGAACTAGAACTGAACTAGAACTGAACTAGAACTGAACTAGAACTGAACTAGAACTGAACTAGAACTGAACTAGAACTGAACTAGAACTGAACTAGAACTGAACTAAAACTGAACTAAACTGAACTAGAACTGAACTAGAACTGAACTAGAACTAGAACTGAAACTAGAACTGAACTAGAACTGAACTAGAACTGAACTAGAACTGAACTAGAACTGAACTAGAACTGAACTAGAACTGAACTAGAACTGAACTAGAACTGAACTAGAACTGAACTAGAACTGAACTAGAACTGAACTAGAACTGAACTAGAACTGAACTAGAACTGAACTAGAACTGAACTAGAACTGAACTAGAACTGAACTAGAACTGAACTAGAACTGAACTAGAACTGAACTAGAACTGAACTAGAACTGAACTAGAACTGAACTAGAACTGAACTAGAACTGAACTAGAACTGAACTAGAACTGAACTAGAACTGAACTAGAACTGAACTAGAACTGAACTAGAACTGAACTAGAACTGAACTAGAACTGAACTAGAACTGAACTAGAACTGAACTAGAACTGAACTAGAACTGAACTAGAACTGAACTAGAACTGAACTAGAACTGAACTAGAACTGAACTAGAACTGAACTAGAACTGAACTAGAACTGAACTAGAACTGAACTAGAACTGAACTAGAACTGAACTAGAACTGAACTAGACTAACTGAACTAGAACTGAACTAGAACTGAACTAGAACTGAACTAGAACTGAACTAGAACTGAACTAGAACTGAACTAGAACTGAACTAGAACTGAACTAGAACTGAACTAGAACTGAACTAGAACTGAACTAGAACTGAACTAGAACTGAACTAGAACTGAACTAGAACTGAACTAGAACTGAACTAGAACTGAACTAGAACTGAACTAGAACTGAACTAGAACTGAACTCGAATTAAACTAGAACTGAACTAGAAATGCACTAGAATTGAAATAGAACCGAACAAAAACTAAACTAGAAAAGTTTAATCAGAATTTTTCATAATTTTACATGTCGAATAATACTGCACATTCTTCACCTTCAGGTAAACAATATGAATAATATAAACATGAATAAATTTTAGCGAAAAAGCAAAGACTGTTTATAATTTTAAAGAAATATTGTAAATATCGAGATTTTTTATTATAATTATGTATTCATAATGATAGATACAACTAATTCTAATTGTTTACCTTATTTACTTTAACTTCATAATGTAAATAAAACTGTTTACTTATTGCTGACGTTTTGCAGTAAAATTCTTAGAAAATCTTTCAGTTTTTTTCAAATTAAAAGCAAATTAATATGTATTTAATTTAATTAATTAATACGTAGAATTGCAAAATACTGGAATGTGTTTGATTTTCTAAAGAATTTTTTTAATAAAAAGTGATAATTTAAAAGAAATGTTTTAAAAGTAGATATTGCGTTAATTTGAAATCTTTTTCAAACATATATGATATTGATTTTATTAAACAACTTATGATGAAGGTTTATTTCTTTAATACTCAGTTAAACTTGACCAACTTTTGGTCTAACAAAATTGGTTTTTTGATAACTCACGTTTTCATAATTGAAATTATTGTGATATTTTCCTAAGGCATTATTGTGGTCTCTAAAAAAATCCGCTATAATTAGATTTTGATTTTTTAAATCTTTGACAACTTGGATCTATTGCTTTTAACAGTTAGCTAAGGGGTAGTTTGAAATAAATTTTTGTTTATTTTTCAAAAACCACAGTTTAAAATAAATATCCGGTTTGAGTTTTTTTTCTTTAGATTTTGTTTAGTTTTAAAAAATAAATTAAATTGTCAATTTAGTTTTTTGTTTATTATAGATTTCCGGTTTTAAAAAAATTATGAAAAAAAAAATTGCTAAAGTAGTTAAAAATCGTTTAAAGTTTAATAAAAATAGAATCTTATTAAAATTAATTTATAATTAAAACAAAAATCTTTTGTGATTAAACATCTTGAGGCTAATAATTCCGGTTTTTGGAAAACATTATTTAAGAACAGGTGTAATTTCCACAAAATCAACATTTTTTTTAAGGTTTTTGTTAAAAAATTAAAAACAAACTTAAACTTACTTGTAAAGATTTTGTTAAGAAAAATCTTTATAATAAAGAAAATAATCCAAAAAAATGCAGGCAACTAATAATCCATTAAAAGTTTAACTTAAGTTTAAAAAACACTTTTATATCTTTTATCAAACTGGTTTAAAGTTATAGATACATTTTTTTTAACTTTTTATAGTTTAATATATTTTTTTTAAATTTTCTTTAAAAATCTTTTAGGTTTTTTTTAAATATTCTTTCTTTTTTTCAAATTATGCAATTTTTTCTTTCAAATAGGCGCCAATTTGTATATTTTTCTAAACAATATTTGTTTTTTTGTTTCTTTTTCGTTTCTCTGTTTCTTCTAGTTTTACCACTTTAAACACGTTTTTTTTAAATCACACAAAAATCTTTTAGAAAAATCTTTAAACCCGTCTTCAATACGTATAGCAGTTTCAAAAAATTATACGTCCACACGCCCGTAAGTTTAGTATCAAACTAAAACTTGTTTGTTAAAATCAAACAATCGACCAATTTCTTGAGTCTAACAAAAACAACAAACGATTTACTTCGTACAGCGCGGTTTTTTTCTTACTCAAATTATTGTTGTTTTTCTTTAATTTTCTACTTCTCGTCTTTCAAAAACTCCCTGAAAAATATACACACGCTCACGTTCACTCACTCACCACTCATACAAGTGGTTCACTGTTGTACTAACGATTGTTGTTGGAGTTTTTAGAAACAAGTACCAAGAGTACAACAAAAACAAAACACGTTTCTTAAAGACCACAAAACTAAAGAGTATCTACATCCCAGTTAACACTTTAATGGAGAAATTCTCAATCCTTCAATATGATTAAAATAGTACATATTTGAATAAGACACACATACATACATATATGAATGATACTCCACCCGAATCTCTAAACAGTTTTTAAACATTTTTTTAAATATTTAAATCAAAAAGCAATTAATCTCTTTTTAGTCATCCAAATTACACGAAAAAGACTCATTTTAGTGATATGTCAATCAACAAACCAACTTTTAAATGTTGACTGGGATACAGTATTATGCATTTTAATGCACACACACATATATATCTCATACTCTCTAATAAAACCAACAACACCAACAAAATATCATAAATAAATAACAGACGTCTCTTTGTCAAACAACAACATCGTCTAAATAAAACAACAACAAAGAAAAAAATAACTTGTATGTTTCACCTGAACTAATACATACACTAATAGTATCTGTGTACCAATATGCACGAGAATTTTAGTACTCGGCTCTACCCAAAAAAAAAACCGTAATTACACTAACAACACATACATGCAAGCCATTTGTAAACATTTCTTTACAAAATATAAATACAACAAAAAACATTATTACTGGTTTTGTTTATCATCATCATCTTCGTCGTCAAGTAAAAACTAAAAATATCTGAATATGTTTGAATGTAGTATCTGTATCTATGTGTTGTATTATAAGTGGAGGAGTATGTTGCAGCTAAAGAAAATCGAGAAAAAAACAGCAACAATACTAATGCACGAAAAAAGATTCTAAACAAAGAGATTTATTCGTGTATCATGGTGAGATTAACAGTTTTTGTAGCGTGTTGTTGTTGTTTTTTCAGTCACAGGTAAAATTAATGGTTGTTTTTGATTTGGACAGAGAGGAATTGGATTGCAAAAGAGGGATACTTTAGTACTTTTTTTAAAGGATTTCTTTTGAAAAGTACTTTTTTCTAGAAAGGAACAAGAACTGAACTAGAACTGAATTAAAAACGAACTAGAACTGAACTTGAATTGAACTACGACTGAACTAGAACTGAACTAGAACTGAACTAGAACTGAACTAGAACTGAACTAGAACTGAACTAGAACTGAACTAGAACTGAACTAGAACTGAACTAGAACTGAACTAGAACTGAACTAGAACTGAACTAGAACTGAACTAGAACTGAACTAGAACTGAACTAGAACTGAACTAGAACTGAACTAGAACTGAACTAGAACTGAACTAGAACTGAACTAGAAATGAACTAGAACTGAACTAGAACTGAACTAGAACTGAACTAGAACTGAACTAGAACTGAACTAGAACTGAACTAGAACTGAACTAGTACTGAACTAGAACTGAACTAGAACTGAACTAGAACTGAACTAGAACTGAACTAGAAATGAACTAGAAATTAACTAGAACTGAACTAGAACTGAACTAGAACTGAACAAGAACTGAACTATAACTGAACTAGAACTAAACTAGAACTGAACAAGAACAGAACTAGAACTGAACTAGAACTAGAACTGACCTAGAACTGAACTAGAACTGAACTAGAACTAAACTAGAACTAAACTAGAACTGAACTAGAACTGAACTAGAACTGAACTAGAACAGAACTAGAACAGAACTAGAACAGAACTAGAACAGAACTAGAACAGAACTAGAACTGAACTAGAACTGAACTAGAACTGAACTAGAACTGAACTAGAACTGAACTAGAACTAAACTAGAACTGAACTAGAACTGAACTAGAACTGAACTAGAACTGAACTAGAACTGAACTAGAACTGAACTAGAACTGAACTAGAACTGAACTAGAACTGAACTAGAACTGAACTAGAACTGAACTAGAACTGAACTAGAACTGAACTAGAACTGAACTGAACGAACTGAACTAGAACTGAACTAGAACTGAACTAGAACTGAACTAGAACTGAACTAGAACTGAACTAGAACTGAACTAGAACTGAACTAGAACTGAACTAGAACTGAACTAGAACTGAACTAGAACTGAACTAGAACTGAACTAGAACTGAACTAGAACTGAACTAGAACTGAACTAGAACGGAACTAGAACTGAACTAAGAACTGAACTAGAACTGAACATAGAACTGAACTAGAACTGAACTAGAAAATGAACTAGAACTGAACTAGAACTGAACTAGAACTGAACTAGAACTGAACTAGAACTGAACTAGAACTGAACTAGAACTGAACTAGAACTGAACTAGAACTGAACTAGAACTGAACTAGAACTGAACTAGAACTGAACTAGACTGAACTAGAACTGACTAGAACTGAACTAGAACTGAACTAGAACTGACTAGAACTGAACTAGAACTGAACTAGAAAACTAGACTGCACTAGAACTGACTAGAATTAAACTAGAACTGATCAAGAGTTTGACTTATTTTCCAAAAAACAACAACAAAATTCTAATCACCATCTGGCATCTCTCGCAAACTCTTCCTAGAACTTGTTTCTATGGCAAACAATTGGCGATAAGAACAAGCTAACAAAGCGCGCGCGCGAAATTTTTTATTTATTTCATTTTATAAGAAGTGACATTTCAATTTACTAAAACTGCTCACGTTACAGAACTGAACAAAAAACTCACAAATACAAAGACACACAATCAGACAATCTATAAAGTAAATAAAATATCTGATTGTCTTAAGATCCCCACAAAATAATATAAAATGTAGTAGTATTATTACCAGTATAAAGAAAAATCTGATGATTTTGTTGTTTTTTATTAAAATTCAAAGTAAGAATAATAAATTAATAAATGAACACTTAAATAGAAGTATATAAACTACACAAAGTATATAATATGGGATTTACATACAAAAAAAATAATGACAAAGAATGGATTCAGATTTCAGTTAAACAAATCAAAACAAATAAATAATGACAGTAGGTAAGAATATGCTTTTTTTAATTTGTTGCCAGAACCAGTATTTTTATAAAATGATTTTTTCACTTTTTTTGTTAATATTAGTTGTTCTAAAACTTTTTATGATTAAATCGTATAAGGTATGGTTTTTTAAACAAAGTGATTGATTTTTTGAGTTTGCGGTTAGAAGTTTCTAACAATCTTAACAGATTAGTTACAATATAGTTATATTTGGTAGTGTTCTGCTTTTTTTGTTTTCTTTATAAATCATTGAGGTGTAAAATTAATCTTAGAAATTGTATAAATAGTAGTTAATAAATTGAAAAAAAAGGTTAAAATGATAGATAGGAAAATGTCATTCAATATTTAAAAAGTTATACATATACAATGTTTATAAATAGCAAAGCAACAAAAACTACGTCATCCTTTAATACGATTATAAGATTTTTTTCAATTTGAACTTTAGAAAGATTAGAAAAACTATTATACTTAGGTATTTTCTTTAAACTGCTTAGAAAATTTAACGCCACTTAAATTGAAAATTTTCAAAAAAAAAAAATTTTATAAAAAAATTCTTTGGGATTTAAGAATAATTCAATTGTGTTCATGATGTGTTCTTTATAAAACATTAACAAAATTAAATTTATCATAAATGAAAATACTTTAAATGATAATTCTTAAAAAAATACTCCCTTAAAACGTTTCCTAACCAATATAGTTCATATTTCCAAAGTTCCATAAAAAAATCAAATAATTTAATGATTATTTCTACTCCAGCTAAACAGGAAATATGCAACAACAAATTATTGAAAAAATTAATTGTCATTATCTTGCTAGAGTAAAAAATATATTGAAACTCCCTCTATTTTTTGTTGGAGAAGATAACTGCTTAAATATAAACTCTCTGAAAACACTTCAGTAGACACACACAGACATAAATGTGTACATATGTATGGACACAAACACAATTGCATTGCAAATCCTTTTAAAATCAAAGAGTATCTTACTCCCACTTTTTTACATATTTATTTTAATTTATAAGAACACTGGACAACAAATTTTTTAATTTATAAGAACACTGTACAACAAATTTTTTTAACCTGAGACCAAAGTATTGTACTTTTCTAAAGGATTATGCTTGGGAGGATCCGAATTTGAAATTTCTTCATCCATCCTTAAAATTCTATTATATTGAGACGTTATAACAGCGCGAAGACAGCTGTTTGTATAATCGGACAACTTTAAAATAAAGAACGAGTGTTCTAACTGATTTAAATAGTCCACGGAATAGTCCATTGACTATTTAGTAGCCTAGTCCATAGACAAGACTAGACCATTAATAGACTTGTCCATAGACAAAACCTAGTCCAATCCATATTCTAAGTCATAGACTATTTCATAGACCAGTCCAAAGTATAGTCCATATACTATTCCATATAATAGTCCATAGATAAGTCCATAGACAAGTCCATAGAATAGTATATAGACTAGTACATAAACCAGTCAGTCAGTAGACTGTTTAATTGGCTAATACTTAGACTAGTCCGCAGACTAATCCATAGGCTGGTACGTAGACTAATCCATAGACTGGTACGTAGACTAGTCCATAGACTGGTACGTAGACCAGTCGATTGATTGCTACGTAGGCTATTCCATAGACTAGTCCATAGAGTAATCCATACATAGTACCTGGACTAGTCCGAAGACTAATACGTACACTAGTTGGTAGACTAGTCCGGAGACTAGTCCGTAGAATAGTCCGTAGACCAGTCCGTTGACTAGTCCGTAGACTTGTCCGTG